GCGGTAGGCGACGATGCGGGAGGCTGTCATGGGGACTTCGCGACGCCGATGAGGCCAGCAGCCGTGAGCATGAGGTGGAGCTGACCACGGCTTGGACTTGCACCGAAGCTGTCTGTAGAAGCAGCGCCAGAAGGGGCACAGCATGTGGAGCATGCGCAAGCCGAGGACCTTGGGCTTGCCCTTCTTCGAGGGTAAAGCTCTGGCTGTGGTGGGCGTTGAGTGGGGCGAAGCCGACGCGATACACGTGGTTGAGGACTGACTCGAAGCTCTCCTGCGCGAGGGGTGCCTCAGCGAGCTCGTCATCGTAGCCCACGCCTGTCGTCTTCGACTTCTGCTTGGTGATGTTGGTGGGCTGGAGGGTCATCTGGAAGATCTCGGCGGGCAGTGACCAGTCCGGCACGGAGGCGCGCTTCTTGAAGTGTTTGAGCCTCTTGGTAACGCCGTAGAGTGCTTGCTTGATGCCGTCCTTGGCGTCCTCGTATTCCTGGCGAACTTGTAGGTTGTGCTCGGTGGTGCGCTCGTAGGTGGTCTCTTTCAAGATGCGCTTCTCCTCCTCGAGGTCGATCTGGTGAGCTCTGAACCCTCCGTGCTGGCCGTCTTGTGCAATGTGATCTGCCCACTCCTGCAAGCTGGGGCGTGCTCTGGTCGCGCGGCTGTAGTTGCGGTTGCGCTTGCCGTAGTTGGTGCCGGCCAGGAGTCGAGACAGTTGATGTACTTCAGAGTGTTCTCGTCGTTGCCAAGCTTCGTAGATGCGCTCCTCTAAGTGTTGTCTTCGTTCGGCTTCGTGCTGGCGCTTCTGCTTCTTGAGGGCACGTGAGAGGACCTCGATCTGGCACTCGATCTCGTAGTTGGGGTCGGTCCCGATGTACTCCTCTCTGAGCTTGGCGCGCTCCTGAAGTAGCCGCAAACGTTCCTCCATGAGCTGGTAGTACTGGTCGGGCTTGGACTTCTGGCGCTCGAAGAAGGGCTTGGCTGCCTCCTTCATGATGTTCACGATGAGCTCCCAGTGTTCGTCCGCTGTGTTGTCCCCTGCCAACTCCTTCAGCTTGTTCTGATGCTTGCCGAAATTGAACTCCAGCGCGTCATTGAACTCCTTGCGGTACTTGCCCGTCTGCAGAGCCAGGGCCATCTTGTCGTAGTCCCAGGCGGTCCTCTTTAGATTTGTGAACACATTCGGGATGATGACGTTGGCGGCTGCAATCAGTGGGACATGGTCGCGCGGCACGTTGTCATTGATGAGTTGAAGTGCCTTGGCCGCTCGCCACCAGACTCTGCAATAAGTAATGTGGGTACATAGTCCTTGAGGCACTGCAATGTAGTCGGGACGTGTGGCCCGTCCTTGGGCTCCGAAGTACGTGGGCCCCGCGTTCCAGAAGGTGTTCAGGATACACATGCCGTGCACGTCGATCATGTTGTGGAAGGCAGCGGCTGCCTCTCCAGGTACTCCTGTAGGGCCTGCGTCGCCGATCACGTTGCTGGGCGCGGCAGGAAGCAATCCGTCCTGGCCGTAGTGGTCGTTCAGGTCGAGGCCGATGATCGGCGTGCTCCTAGTGGGCGTCTCGCTCAGGGTCTTGTTGATCCACTTGAGCGTCTCGTTGACCGTCTTGACCCAGGCGTTGTGGTGTTTGGCGAGCCCTGACCGTGGAGGTTGGTACGCAACAGTGAAGGTCATGTCGAGTTCTCCTCGACGAAGGCGAACTGCTCCTGCGCGTCCTTGAATGCTCGGCGGCGGGCTGGGGAGCTCAGTCACGCACTTGATGCGGTAGCGGTTGCTGATCATGATGGCCACGCCCGCGTGATTGTTGGTGAGAGGGCCTCTGCCGTAACCCCACGTGAAGGTGCGGTGCTTGTAGGTCTGGAGCTGGTCGACGGGGCTGGTGGGGTCGTGCTGCCTCCAACGAGTGGCTGGTAACATGACGACGTCGACTGCGCTGAACTGTCTCGAAATTTCCATGCTTCTTAATGGCGCGACCATGCTGAGCGGGTTGTACACACCTCACCGCAAGAATGTCATCCAGAAGATCGCAAAAGAAGAAATATGGATGGCCAGCCGCGCTGGCATGACATGAAGGGTGCCCTGAGGGCGGAAGCTGCTCTGCGTGGGTTGCCTGCTGGGCCGCGAAGAATGGGGCTGGAGCAAGAGACGGCGGCTGAGGAGGAGCTGGAGGAGGACGAGGACGAGGACGAGGACGAGGACGAGGAGGAGGAGGAGGAGGAGGAGGAGGAGGGGGAGGGGGAGGAGGAGGAGGAGGAGGAGGAGGGAGGAGGGAGGAGGAGGAGGAGGAGGAGGAGGAGGAGGAGGAGGAGGAGGAGGAACGGTCCGCGCGGATTATTTGGATCTGTGTTGGCCGCCTTTGGCGGCGCCCTCGGCGCCGCCCGTGGCGCGCTCCGCGCGCCTAGGAGGGGGCCCCGTGCCGACCCAAGACATCCGCGCGGGGCTCCGAAGGTTTGTGCGAGTGCCGCCTCGCCTTCCTCCACTCAGAGCCTCGTGGAGGCTTCCTGGAGCCATCGTGGGGAGAGTGTCAGAGCCCCGAATCATCAGGGGTCACTCGGGTCAGGGTTAACTCGGGTTCGTTTTTCGGGAATCCGAACCCGAGTTACCCCGGACCCGAGTTGCCCCGGACCCGGGTTGCCCCGGATAATTCGGGCGTCCAGAGCCCCACATCATCAGGGGTAATTCGGGTCAGGGATAATTCGGGCTCCTATTTCGGGAATCCAAACCCGAGTTACCCCGGACCCGACTTACCCTGGATAACTCGGGCGCCCAAGAGTGGCAGAAGGAGCTGGGAGGGGAAGAGGCAGACAGAAGCAGCAGGAGCGCGACAGGGAGGAGTAGAGGGAGGGGGATGATGTTTTTGCGCGGATCTCTGAATGTTAGAGTTGCTTGGAGGATTCTCGAGGCCATAGTGGAATCTTCTTGGGGGCCCTCGTTGTGTCCCCTCCGGACTGGGTGGCTTTTACCTTCGGAAAGAGGAGGAGGAAGGAGGAGGAGTCTCGGCGCCCTCTGGGGACGATATTGAGCCCCATGGTTCCAAAATGGGGAACTGTTTAATTCGGGTTCCCCTCTCGGAAATCCACAACTGGTTTCCTGGGGCCCTCTTGGAACGCCCTTGGGCGCCTTGGACGATCTTGAAGCTTTCCTGGGGGCCTCTTGGACCTCTCTTGGGGCTCGCTTGGGCCATCCTGGTGCCATCGTTGGACCTCGGAGGCCCATCGGAAGCGCAAGTGCCAGAGGCAAATGAATCATAGTCTTCCATAGTTGTTGGAGGATCTTGTGTTTTTTGCGGTGTGCTTTGGAAGGCCCAGAAGGGCACTTGAACCGTCTTGGGGTTGCCTTGGGATGTCGCGAAGGTAAGTCGGGAGCTATCCTGCGCCATCTTGAAGTACTGTGAGCCACCCTCCTGAAGACCATCTTGGCACATCGGGGGCCGTCTCGGAGCCATCTTGAACCAAATGGGGGTCCTCCTCCTCCTCCTCCTCCTCCTCCTCCTCCTCGTCCTCTGAAACCTCGTGACCCCCCCCCCCCGTCCAGACCGAGCCTCTCACCGAACAAGGGAAGGAGGGGGTTCGGAACAGGGAAGAAGAAAACTCGTGATGCCACCTCTGCACAGGATGCTGGCGGGATTTTCGGCCCTCGGGAGCTTGACGGATGCCGAGACCCTCGGAAAACAAGAGTCCAGCGAAGAGGTGCAGACCTCCAGGGAGCCACGTTGTGAACAAAAACACGGTCTTGGAAAGCAGGAGGAGGAGGAGGAGGAGGAGGAGGAGGAGGAGGAGAGGAGGAAGAGGAGGAGGAGGCTGGCCATAGGGAGGAGGAGGAGGAGGAGGAGGAGGAGGTTCGAGGATTAGGAGGGGAAGGGAGGAAGGATGATAGAAGAGGGACGAGGGAGTATGGGGCGAGGAGGAAAAGGAGGGCAGAGGAAGAGGAGCAGGATAATGAGATAGGAGGCTGAGGGAGTGAGGAAGCACGTAGGATCGAATGGACGGAGGGTAGCGATGCGAAGACGTCAGGGAGACGCGGAGAAGGGGAGAGTGATGACGTGGGAGACGCGGAGGAGACACGAAGACAAGTTTCGCCGGAGAAGGGAGGATGCAGACCGGCCACAATTGGGTGAGCTATGGCCACCCCTGTGGAACCCATCGGCTTCGGCGCCCCGATCGACGGAGCCTCGGGTGCGAGGGGCACGGCCCTCTCGGGTGCGGGTTGATCCGGGAGGGAGAGCACATCGGGGGTCAAGCAGGACGCTGAGTCTGGCGAAGGGGGGGGGGATTCGCCCCTGGAGTCCCGGGGGGCAGGGGCAGAAAAGCGAGAGGGTGGACTGTGCAGGAACAGGAGGACTGGCGGGGGGAGAGAAGAGATGAGGGCCCCTTGTCGTCGCGCCGCACCTCACCGTCGCCGCGGCCTCGACGAAACTCAGAGGGCGCCCAGGTTGACGCGCGAGCCATTCTGTTTGATTTGACAACCCAGCCATGCGATGTCCTGATTTTTTTTCAGTACGGGGCCCCCGCTTGTCCCGACCCTTTCCCCAGGGCTGGTTTCCCGTCCCGAGCAGTTTGTTGACGGCCCGAGGGCCCAGTAACGGCCCCCAGAGGCCGAAAACGGCAAGCGGACCGCACTGATGCTTCACAACGCAAGCATGTCTGGGCCGCGAGGCCTTCCTCGGACACTGGAACATATACATGGCCAGTGGCGGACCGTTTTTCAGTCCTACGACTTTTCGAGGGTCGGGGACGGCGTCGGGGTGGTCTGGTGTATACTTTTCCCCCGTTCTCGCGGGGAAACACCGAAAAATGTGTACACCAGGATCCCGTAAACACCAGGATCCGCGTTCCTGTGCGAACTCCAGCGCAGGGTCGGCAAAAGCGTCGGTATATATATATATATATATATATATATATATATAGAGAGAGAGAGAGAGAGAGAGAGAGACTTCGCTTCCCTGCTTCCTCTGCTTTGACGAGGGGGGAGGCCGGGACGCCCGGGGCCCTCGAGGGCGCAGGTCTCGCCGACGGCGCCCCGCCGCACGTCGCCCCGCCACGGCACCAAGGACGCGCCCGAGGCCTGGGCGCGGGCCGTGGGATTCCTTCCGCCTCGGCGGGGGGGTTTCCTCCTCCTCCTCCTCCTCCTCCTCCTCCTCCTCTTCCTCCCCCTCCCCCTCCCCCTCCCCCTCCTCCTTCCTCCTCCTCCTCCTCCTCCTCCTCCTCCTCCTCCTCCTCCTCCTCCTCCTCCTCCTCCTCCCCCCCCTCCGCGATGGGAGGAGGGGGAGGGGGGTCGGAGTCGGCTGGGGCCTGAGGTCCGTCAAGCAGAGACGAAGCGTCCCGGCTCGCTTTGAGCCCTGCCGAGCAATGCTCTAAGAACTTTTCCTGGTTTGCACAAGGTGTTCTTAGAACCTTTCTGGCGAAGTCTGTCTTGCTTAAGACATCGGGCTAATGTGCTAAGAACCTTGCTTTCGTTCTTAGATTCTGGGCTCTACGAACATTTCGTGACAGGACTATAGGAAGGCCGGGACCGTCGGTCCCTGCTCAAGAGATGGCCCGGCACTGGTTCAGGCCAGCAGGAAGGGCGGACAGGCTCGAGGCGCCGGGGTCTGGCGCAAGGCCTTCTGCTCGCCTCGGCCTCCCGGGGTGGCCGTTCTCGGGCCCCAGGACCGTCAGACGCGGATCGGGGGACAACCCAAAGGAGGAGGAGGAGGAGGAGGAGGAGGAGGAGGAGGAGGAGGAGGAGGGGGAGGAGGAGGAGGAGGAGGAGGGGGAGGAGGAGGGGGAGGAGGAGGAGGAGGAGGATAAAGAGGGTCTGCCTCGGTTCCGTCCAGGCGCCCGAGTTCTGCCAACGCCCGAGTCAAAGGCTGCACCAGATGGACCCCGGGAGGGGTCCGGGGGACCGAGCTGGAGCGGCTTTGGCCTGGAGGCATCCCGCACAGTGAGGAGGGGCAACCTTCCCAAGGGTGCACTTGCATCCTTGCCTCCTCGGCCCATCTTTGGCCGCTCTCGTTGGCCGCGCCCCGCTCGAAAAGCTTCGAAATGGGCGTCCAAGGCCCTTGCGTCCTTATCGCACATCCTTATTCCACGGGTTGACAGTAAGGATGGGCAACCTTCCCAAAGGTACCCTTGCATCCTTGCCCCTTCGGTCCATCCTTAGCGACGTTCGCTGGCCATCATCGTCCGAAAAGCGTAAACATCGCCTTTTCAGGCCCTTGCATCCTTACCGGGCAGTCATACTATACGGGTTCAATGTAGTCCCCCTTCCTGGCCGATTTTCCGCGGTCCCGGCCAGCTCAGAATCCCCCTGGCCGCATCCAAGAAGGGAGGCACAGCGGTGGAGCGGAGCGCGGGGCAGCAACCGCTTGATGCGCTCAGCGGATCAGTTGGCAAAGCTCTCGTAGCATATTTTTCGGGTGGCAATTAAATTTTTGTGTACTGATCAGGACTGACGTTTGGTGTGGTGCAGTCGGCATGCGTGGGCGAAGGGTTGGCTTCACACATGCGATTGCAACGGCAATGTGTTTGCTCCTAGGCAGTTTAAGATTTGTGGACGTGCAGGTGCGAACGCAATGCGCACTCTTGAAAGAAACGACAGGGGAAGCGGCCCGCTCAGACAGAGAGTGTCATCCAGGCCGGCTCCAGTGGCCTCGGGCTCGCGCGACAGCCTCGAGACGGGGGAGAGTGCAAACGGGGGTCAGCCAGAGCGCCCGATCTTGCAGGATCCTGCAGGATCTCGCAGGATCCTTCGCATGGACCCGGGCGTGGGCGCAGGATCTCGCAGGATTCTGCGGGATTCTGATTGACTCGGGTCTGGATTGACCCGGGTCGGACGATCCCCGACTCGCGAGTGGAGCCGCGGATTGCGTTTTGGTGACCGCCCGGGCGCGTTGGGTGGGGGGCAGGTTCGGCCGCGCCAGCCGCCACCAGCGCGCCGCAAGCCACGATCGGCGAGCCGCGCACCAGGGGGGCGCTGCTTGCTCAGCGTCAAGCCTTGCGCACTACTGGCGAGCTCAAGTTGGGCACGAGGCGCCTGCCTCTTGCCTCCTCTTTACGTTTATCGAGCGGCTGATATGAATGAATGTGTTGTTGCTGCTGCTGTTGTTGCTGCTGTTGTTGTTGGTGCTGGTGTTGTTGCTGCCGTTGTTGGTGTTGTTGGTGGTGGTGGTGGTGGTGTTGCTGTTGCTGTTGTTGGTGGTGGTGTTGGTGTTGTTGTTGCTGTTGTTGTTGCTGTTGTTGTTGCTGTTGTTGCAGTTGGTGTTGTTGTTGTCGTGTCCGTGCTCTGATCTGAGATGATCTAGATGGCGGCGGTCGGCCCTGGGTCTTCCGACCCCCCTCCCCTCAGCGGGCCCCGGCGCGGGCGCGCCTTGGGCGAACAGAGCGGCGCGGCCTGGCGCGGCAGGAAGCGAGCGGAGGGCGGAAGGAATGGAGGGGGAGGGGCGGCTTGCGGAGGCCGGTCCAGGTGGGAACGGGGAAAGCGAGGACGAAGGGGGGGTGGGACGGGGGTCGTGGACGGGGGCGGGGGCTGGATCATGGGGGGGGGGGAAGGGGCAGCGCGGCCGGAGGGAAAGAGCCCACCGGGGGCCGGAGGGCGGGCGGGAGAGGGCGGCAGAGGCAGGGGCAGGGAGGGCACCCAAAGGGGCGAGGGCGAGTGGCGGTGGGCGGGCTTCCGAGAGCGCAGGCTTCGCCGAACGCGGCCTCATGCCGCGGCACCAGGCATGCCGCTGCGCCGGTCGCCGCTGAGGCACCGAGGCCCGCGCGAGGAGGAGGAGGAGCAGGAGGAGGGGGATGAGGAGGAGGAAGAGGAGGAGGAGGAGGAGGAGGGGGAGGAGGAGGAGGAGGACGAGGACGAAGACGAGGACGACGAGAACCACGGGGAGGACGAGCACGAGGACGAGGACGAGGACGAGGAGGCCTCCCTTCTTCTCTTCAGGCGTTGTCCTAGCCTTTCCGCTCGCTGCTTTTGTACCCGGATGTGCTCCAGGGAAGTCACGCAGGAAATAGGCGCAGAAGGAGGTGGCGGGTAAGATCGGCGAGTTCCTGAAGGAGGAGAGCAGAAGGTCGAAGGTGGAGAAGGCGTCCACGTTCACGGATCTTGACAGGACCAGGGTGATCACGTGTTTTCGGAAGTTGCAAAAACAGGGTTCGACCTCACCATTTGGGACGCTAAAAGGGACGTGGGTGGGGGGTAAAGCTTCCGTCCTCCGACATCAGCGCTCGTGGGCGGGACTGGACGCTGGGCCTGATCAGGCACTATGTGGTGGAGGAGAGTGGGGAAAAGGGTCCCTAATCCATCTGGACATTGCGGAAGAAGGAGGGTGTCATACTGGACGGCAGACAAGAGCGAGGAGCGGGGCGACGAGACAAGTCGGAGTGAGGAGACCGAGTTGGCGGCTCGCGCACGAGTCAGATCTGAAACGCCCAAGAAGCAAAGCTCCAGCTGTGAGACCTGGTGGCCAGACAGTGGGATCGGTGTTTCTGTGTCAGGGAGGTCCTCTTGAGAACTCACATCATCCTGACCCCCTGGCGCTCGAGGAATTGGGCCCGCCAATAGCCCCCCCTGTTCCGTTTCCCGGACATTTGGCGACGAATTCCAGATTGGCGCCCTCGCGAGGGAGATCCTCAGAAAAGTGGCCCCCCGAGCCTCCCCAAGGAGGCCTTATATACGGAAACTCCCGACCAGCCGCAGAGCGGCCGGCTAGCAGTCGCATGGCTTTCATGCGATGCGCCTCGCTTGCAGCACACCGCTGGCGAAGAAAAGCAGGGGCAGTAGGTCGGAAACTGGAAAATATACAATACCCGTGGCGGGCTGCTCTTCAATCCCAGGACTTTTTGAGGGTCGGGGACGACGTCGGGGTGATGTGGTGTATACTTGTTTCCCGCTTTTCTGGGGGAAACAACAACACATGTATACGCCAGGATCCCGTATACGCCAGGATCCGCTCTCCTGTGAGGGTTTCACCACGGGGCCGGAAAAAGGCGTCGGTGTATAGAGTGCGGCTCCTTAGCTCAGGAGAGGAACAAAAAAACACACAGACACAAGTAATCCTCGATTCCCCAGAGAATATGGGAAAATATGGGAAGTGGGGGGGGGGGAGACAGAAACCCAGAAAATATGGGAAAATATGGGGAATAGTTGTATTTGTGTGTATTTTTTGTGTGTCCTGGGGCCCCTTCATTAGAAGGAGGATCTCGTGGAGCGCCGGCACCTTTTCCGCCGGGGGGGGGCAGGAGGAGGAGGAGGAGGAGGAGGAGGAGGAGGAGGAGGAGAGGAGGAGGAGGGAGGAGGAGGAGGAGGAGAGGGGAGGGGGAGAAGGGGAAGAGAGGGGAGGAGGAGGAGAGGAGGAGGAGGAGGAGGAGGGAGAGGAGGAGGAGGAGGAGGACCTCGTGGAGTGCCGGCACCTTCCCGACCGGAACGTGCCCCGCCCGCAGGGCCGCCGCCGCCCCCGCGGTGCCCAGCCTAGAGCGGGTGCTCCGCGAGCTGCCCCCGCCCGCGCCGGAGGCCGGGAGCGGCGGCCCCAGGACGGGCCGCCTCCTCCTCGCTCCTCCCTCCTCCTCCTCCTCCTCCTCCCTCATCCTCCTCCTCCCTCCTCCTCCTCCTCCTCCCCCTCCTCCTCCTCCTCCTCCTCCTCCTCCTCCTCTCCTCCTCCGCCTCCTCCTTCCGCCCTCCTCTCCTCCTCCTCCTCCTCCTCCTCCTCCTCCTCCTCCTCCTCCTCCTCCTCCTCCTCCCTCCTTCCTCCAGAGCGCCACGCGGGCCCAGAGAGACCGGTGCGATCGGAAAGGGCCAGGTATCGCCAGGGCCCCAGGTAAGGTAAAACGACGCGAAGATCGGGACAAAATCGGATCGGGATAACTCGAAATCTCTGAGAATCGGCGGGTTTGGAGGATGTATTGGGCGCCGCGGCCGCTCTCAGAGCGTTCCCGAACGCTCTGAGAGCGCTCTGGAACGCTCTGGAGCGATTTATCCCGATCCTAGCCATGTTTTACCAGGTAAGGGGGACCTGGTTAGTGGTGGGGCCCTGGAGCCCCCTAAATTGGCCAGGGTCACTGAACCAGATCTGCCGTACCTGGCGTTTTTTTTCGCCCTGGAGGCCCAGAGCACTTCCTCGAGGAACCGTCGGGCGGGGGGCGCGCAGCCGGGCCGCCGAGCCGGGGCGGGCTTCCAGGGCCCACTCTTCCTCCTCCTCCTCCTCCTCCTCCTCCTCCTCCTCCTCCTCCTCCTCCTCCTCCTCCTCCTCCTCCTCCTCCTCCTCCTCCTCCTCCTCCTCCTCCTCCTCCTCCTCCTCCTCCTCATCCCCCTCCCCCTCCTGCCGCGCAGCCTCTCGTGTCGTGCGATCCCTGCCCGCAGCACGAGCGGAGGGGCTCCCGTGGAGGTGCCGCCGAGGCCGCCTCGTCTGCGGCCCCCGGGGCCTCCTCCGAAGAAACCTCTCTCGCTCGCGGCCTGCCGAGGCTTTTGGTTGTCTCGTCTGCGACCTCTTCTTCGTATTCGGCTTCTTCGGCTTCTTATTATTAGTCTTAGTATTATTATTCGGCTTATTCTTCTTATCAGTATTAGTATTATTAGTAGCAATAGTATTGTTATTAGCATTAGTAGTATTATTAGTTTGTCTCTTCTTCGGTTCCTTATTATTATTAGTATCATTATTAGTATTGTTGTTAGTATTAGTATTGTTATTATTATTAAGCTTATTATTATTATTCTTATTATTATGATTAGTATCATTAGAATTATTATTAGTATTAGTATCATTATTAGTATTATTATTATTATCATCATTATTATTAGTATTATTATTATTATTCGTATTACTATGATTATTAAGTTTCTTCTCTTTGGCTCTTTGTTTGTCTCTTCTTCGGCTTCCTCTTCTTATTCCTCTTCTTCTCTTCTTCGGCCTGCCGAGGCTTTCCCTGCTTCGGCCTGCGGTCTGCTGCCGAGGCCTCCCTCCGAGGCGCAGAGAGGGGCCGCGGGTCGCGAGGCGCACGGGGCGAGCGGCCCGCCCGCGGAGCTGCGGGCTCAGGGCGTGCTCCCCAGGGTGGGTCGGGGTAGGCGGAGGGGGGAGGAGCGAGGAGGGAGGGAGGGGGGGGGGGAGGGGGGAGGGGGGGAGGGAGGGGAGGGAGGGAGGAGCGAGGAGGAGGGACGGAGGAGGGGGGAGGGAGGGACGGAGGAGAGGGGAGGGAGGGAGGGACGGAGGAGGGAGGAGCGAGGAGGGAGGAGCGAGGAGGGAGGAGGGGGGGGGGAAGGGGGGGAGGGGGGGAGGGGGAGAGGGTGGAGAGGGGGGAGAGGGGGGAGAGGGGGGAGAGAGGGGGGGAGAGGGGCAAGGCAGGTGCGCTCGCGTCATGTCTGGCGTCCTGCCCCTCCCTCCCATCCCTTGCCAGGGCGTAGATCTCCTCTCTTATTCGCACGGTCGGATGGCGAGAAGGGCAATGATCCCGAGAGGGTGCGCGATGCATCGTAGGAGAGGGGTGAGGGGAGGAGTGAGAAGGGCGGAGTCGGAGGATTGCACGCATCGCCGATGCAGCGGCGATGCCTCCGCGATACGGCTCGATGAGTAGCCCGATGTTCGTGGCGCCGACGTCGCCGCCGCATCGGCGATGGGCCACGAGATCCCTCAGATCGGATTGCTCCCTCTTCCTCTCTCGATGCGTCCCCTGCTCGGCATCGCTCGGACGTGTGCCTTCTTCTTTCTCGGCGAGGACCTTCGAGGAGCACCCTCGACCATCTGGCGAAAAAAACACACGAAACCGAAAAAGGACGTCCGAGCGATGGCCAGCCTGCCCCCCCCCCCCCTCGCCGCCGTGCACCATCTCGCGTCGTGAGGGCAGCACGGCGGACGTTTTGGGTCCTGCTGTGTGCGTTGGAAACTGCTCGGCCTCCGCGCCCGGCGTCGGGAGCGCAGGGCGACGGCTCTTGGCGAAGAGACCCAGGAGGGAAGAGAACACACAGACACGATCGATCGTCGATCCCCCAGACAGTGTGGACAAACATGGGAGGTGGGGGGGAAGACGAACACCCAGAAAGTGTGCGAAGATATGGGGAATCCTGCGATTTCTGTGCACTTCTCTGTGTGTGTGTCCCCGGGCCCCCTTCAGAGACGGCCCCCGAGGAGCTGCCAAGACCTCCGGAGGCCCGTGCCGCGGAGCGTCGCGCAGCACGGGGTGCGTCGAGGCAGGCCTCCGAGGGCGGCGCTCCCTCGAGGCATCGCGAGGGGTTGCCCTCGGGGAGGGTCGTCGTCATGCTTCGGCTCCCTGACCTTCCCCTTCCTGACCTCGGGCTTCTTGGCGGAAGCGGGGGCCTGGCGGAAGCGACGGAGGGGCCCTGGCGACGAAGTCCTTGGCCTCGGTGCCGTGCTCTCCTCCCATCTCCTCCGGGTGGCGCCTCGGGTTCTCGGGCACGTCGGGCAACTCGACGCCAGCTTCCGAGGTGGCTCGTGTTCTTGACCTGCGTCCCTGCGGACACGTCCCGACTCTACTCCTCCCGGATTTCCCCACGCCATTCGACGAGGAGCTCCCTGCCCGAGTTGAAGAACTTCGAGCTGACGGACGAGATTCGCCGAGGGCTCAGGCAGCGCTCAAGGATCGGCTTTCCCTCACTTCGCTCGGGATGAGCTACAGAGCTGCCCTTGAGGCTCGATCGGGATCGGAGGCGATGCCAAGGCCTGTTCGGCTGTACGGAACATTGCCCCAGTGGGAGGTGGGAGGGAGGAAATGGGCTGGGGCGACGTAAGTCTCGAGTTTGATGGAACTCAGGTTTGCAGCCGCTTGGCTGTCCAGGCACGCATTTTGACTGTCTCTGCAGGCTTGGCTCAGGCCACTCCGTCCGCGTTGCCACATGAGCGACGCAGAAAATGAAGATGATTGCGCCGATATTCGCGCGTGAGCTGTCCGCGTAAGGTCGCGCGTAAGCGCCCGCGTTTTCAATGCAGCGTGCCATGCTGGCGGCCCGCGTAAGTAGCGGCGCAAGGCCGCTGTGTCTTCTGGCGTAAGACCCACGTCTTCTTCGCACCAGTTCCAACAGTTTCGAGTTCGCTGCAGCTCCTGACAGCTGCTCTAGCCCTTGCCGGTGCCACTTCCATGGAACTTCAACCTTCCCCATGGTTCCAGCTTGTTTGTCTCTGAGCGATGTGGAGCCGACGGCGCGGGCACTGGCGATGCCGATCCTCGAGAGGGAGGACCCTCCCCGACCTTCTGGCAGGGCTGAGCAATAACGCCAGGGCTTTTGAATGTAGGTTCTGGTCGCGATATTGAAACAGATTATGTAACCGCTTCGCTCATTCCGCCCGCCCGTATTGTGCCAGCGTTGGCGGTTGCGTGCGCATTCGTGGGCCATGCGGCGCTGCTGGTCGGCGCTGCTGCGGTTGCGGGTGAGAGTCTTCACGGATGTTCGTGATATCTTTTCGGAGGGTTTTCGGGGGGCTCCTGCGCAGCAATTTCAGGTGCTCTTGGGCGCATCCTGGGGCGCCGATGCCTCTTGGGGCTCTCGTGTGCGCCTCTTGGTGGCCTCTTTGGCCCTCTTTGGGGGCTCTTGGGGGCCGCTCGCGGCAGCCTGGTCGCCTCTTGGGGCCGAGAGCTCGAAATGCCAGTTCGGCTTCCTCCCTCTGGGCCCCCTCTTGGGGCCGTCCTGGGGCTCTCTCTGTCTGTCCTGGAGGCCTCTGGGGCCGTCTTGGGACCTTCTTGGGGCGTGGTGGGGTTTTCTCTTGGAGGCCTCTCAGGCCGTCCTGGGGCGATCCTGGGGGCCTCTGCGGCGGCTTGGGGGCTCCCTTGGAGGCTTACTGGGCCGTCTTGGAGCGATCTTACGGGCTTCTTGTGCTGTCTGAGGGTGTCGGCGGCCGAAAGGGTAAGGATGTTGAAAATCGTCACAGAAACAAAATGGAAGATTGTTAATTCTTGTTGCCTCTGGGGGACTTCTTGGGGGTGGTGTTGGAAGCATCTTCGGGCGTCCTGGAGGCGGTTGAAGCCGTCTGGAGGCTATCTTGGGCATCTCGGAACGACTTCTGGTGTCCTTGGCCCTCTTAGACCGCTGTGGGGCCTCTTGAGACGCTGCTGAAGGCCATGAAGGCAGCCCCCAGGAGTTCTGCCATCCGTGACGGGGACCGCCCGGGACTTGCCCGGGGACCGCCCTGGATTTGCATGGGGCATTTCTCGTCCGGACGCCCGCGGGAATTGGAAGCATTCCAAAGCTGTTACCAGAGATTTTAGCACGCCTTTTTGGCCCTTCGAGCCTGCGAAAGTTTTTTCTTTCTAGCACCCTGGAAGGTCAGGGCTCGTCGACCCCGCGGGCCTTCTGTCCGGTCGACTCCTGCACCCAGCTGCTGCCGTTTATAGATAGATAGATAGATAGATAGATAGATAGATAGATAGATAGATAGATATATAGATAGATATATATAGACATATAGATAGATAGATAGATAGATAGATAGATAGATAGATAGATAGATAGATAGATAGATAGATATATAGATAGATAGATAGATAGATAGATAGATAGATAGATATATAGATAGATATATAGATAGATA